CAAATACACAAGCATATAAGCATATCAAATTTCCCTGTTGTCCGACTGTTCGTTACACTTATAAAACAAAATTGAGAGTTACATCTGCAGAAACAAAGCTGGCAGCACAGCCCTGCACTTTGCAACGCGCAAAGGCACAAAGAGGATTTGACACTTGCCTTCCTTGCGGTTACGGACCTGCTTTTTCATGTCAAAGAGAATCACAAACCCCTGAGAGGACTTATAGGTTTTAATTTACTCTCATTTGGAGCCTTTATGTGGCATCTATATCATATAGGCACCAAAGACATTCTCAGAGGGTTTGTGGCGTACAATTTTTGCAGTGTCACTCACGTCCACAAAAATACCATCATCCTTATAAAGGTGAAACACTCCACCCAGGTAACTGTTGGATTGTGTTTTTTGACTGACTTTTGAATGTGAAGGATATTTCCTGGACTGCAGGAGGGTGATATTCCCTGAATACCTGTCAGTATGCATGCTAATACGATGCTGAAATCCGTTGCTGTCTGAGAAGAAAACCTTGGAATAGACATAGTAATAACCCTCTTTCTGAATTTTGAGCTCTCTGTCTTCGTAGGTCATTTCATAGAGGAGAGGGTCTGCATTCATGCTCCATGCCATTTTGTTTTTTGCATGAGCTACATCTTGTCCATCTGAAAAATATAAGAACAAATGTAATCGTTCTAATAAAATAAAGTGCAAACATCACACTGTGAAGAGCAATATGTACTTAATTATGCATCTTGGTAATAACTGAAACATTATGTTCCTGGCAGTTAGGGAAATGCTGTTTTTACCTGTCAGATGTGCAACCGGTTTGGAGGGAGGAATACTATAACTGGGTTGTTTAGTGGCAGTTGTAACTGTGAGAGGACGAAACATTACTTATGTAGTGTGGAATAAGTAAACGGAAGGTGCTCGTCATCTGTGTATAAAGTGCTGAGACTCACCTCCGATGAGCTTAGAGATCGATTCTGAGTCGGTCTGCAACGAAAACGAAAGAGGGTTAATGTATTTTTAATGTGCATTTGCATTTTTGAGCGTGCACATGTAGATGCGTAGATGCAATCGGCTCTTGTGGATAACAAAGTTGTGAAAATAGAAGTTTAACAATATTAAAATGTAATTGTAACAGGCATTGTTTTTCTGCAGAGCATGGTAGGACAGAAGAAGGTAGATTGCTATCATGATACCGGAAGTAGACCACTTCCTTTTTGCCATCATCCCTTGTTTGTACACTGTGCACACACTCAAAAACGCCACTGCTGTTATTCTGTTCTATAATACGTGACAGCTACCCTAACACAGTGCATCAGTGCTGTACAGGAAACTGACTCTGTACGTCCACCGCCTCAGAAAGTATGTCTGCCCCCTCCCCACATGCACGTCATTAAAGTTGTCTGTAAATGAGCTGGACTTTAGAGTACTTCTCCATGTGTGCTTGGCCCTCTTCCCCATAATAGTGAAATAAATTCATGATCAGCAGTTTTTACTGAAAATAAATTCATCTCAGCAGAATTTCTATCACAAGAGCCTCTGTGTTTGCGTCACAAACCCTTCCAGATACCCAGACATACATATTGCATAAAGAATCGCTGCAATAGGATCTTCTCTAAGTCAAACTGTTATTCTATTCTATTCTGTTGTGGAAATTTATATTTTTAATAACTTTCTCACATACAGCTCAAAGTAATCTACATTTTTATGCCTATTTATGCATCTACATGTTTAATTATGACAATATCAATGATATAAAACAAAAACTCAGGTTTAAAGAAAATCAAGACCTGTAGCAATCTGCTGTGACCTTTAACCAAACGCATTTCTGATTACGAATACTTCTGATTGAGTGAAAGTGTTATTAAAATGACTGACAGAAAATATGTAGGAGAATACTGTGAAAAAGTACGAAAAGAAAACTGGAAGTGAGAACACTGTGGTAAACAATGAATAAACTCTTACAATGAAAGCGAGATTCAGAGGCGTTGAAACAGATATTTAATGGAAAAAAAGATCTACCGAGACAATGAGCTACTAATAAATCATAGAATGAAATTGCAAAAGGTACAGAAATGGTGATACTTACACGTTCGGCCTGGTAGAGTCCATAGATGAAGCATGCTTCTATGACCATGCCGCACAGCGCCACGCTCACCAGCATGAAGAGCAGGATCTGAGCCACCCCGGTCTTTTTTCGCACCTGGATCAGCCTGGGGGGCACTGGAGGCCTTGTGGCATGGGTGTCCACCACACACACAGAGGGATATTTAATCTTCTCCATACTTTCTGGGGTTTTTCTGTAAATGGAAAAGAATTCAGTGAGGCGCTCTCACTGAAGTAGCTGCTGCTGAGAGACCTGAGAGACAGGCAAGTGTGAAGAAGTTTCAGAATGGGTGGGCTTACTTCTGGTTGGTTCAAGTGGAGCAAACTTACCAGCAATCAGAGACAGAAGTCTTGAGATGTATCACCAAAGCACCTTTGAGAGCTTCCAACGTGCACTTGAACTGCACGCACCCAAAGGATACTCCGAGGTTATGTCACTCTTTCCAGTGTAGTCAATAAATCGTTTTTGAAGTGTCACGGTTGAAGGCGACATTCAGTGAGTGGAAGACCCAGAGCAATGCATTCTGACCTCCCCATTTACACCCTCCCACTTCAGTGCAGCAGCAGTGCAGAATGTCTCCAGTCCCACTTCCTCCCTCGTTAACACTCTCTTTGGTCTGACAGTTACAGTAACAGACCAAAGTTGTACACACATGTCCTTTGTCACTTTAAGCACATTTGTGAAAGACCCTAAAAGGTCACAAGCCACCTTAAGTAATGGGTTTAAAATGTATATATTTTTTCCCAAGGCTTGATTATTTTACGAGAAAGTATTTTGAGGTTTAAACAGTATGCATATTCCATCCAGTCAGTGCTGGTAATACGTAGCACTGGTTAATATAATTTTTCATTATCTTCACTAGCATCTAATTAGTAAACAGTTAGCATCCCATTGGTTAGCAGGAAAAAGTCGTTTAGCTTCTACATGAGGGTGATAACAGTCATGGGGAAAAAATATGTACACCCAATGCAATTTGTTGGACGCTTAGTTAATTTAAAAAAATGTATAGGTGTAATTTTCCACCAATCTGTGACATAGTATTAGCGTAAAATGCAAGAACATGTCATTTCAATCTTGCCTTTGACTTAACTTTCCACTTCACTTCTTCTTTTTGAGTGATTCCTTCTTAAGTCGTTCCTTGGTGTAAAGGGCCGTCGCTGTCTTAAAAGTCCACTCAGCTTTGGCACAGATGGCCTCATGTTAAGCAGAATGCAGAATGAATTCAAAGCTGAATGACAATGGCAGAGAGCCGTTTATCCCCCAGGAAACAAACAACCACAACACAATAAAGTTTCCATCAGTATGTGGCAAAGCTGTCCTTGGTTGGTCTGCTGTTAGTGCTGCTGAACAACTCTAACTTTGATTTGTGTCTCCAGAGCACAATATTCCAAACGACCTGTAAGGTCATTGCAAACTGCTGTTTTGCTCTAAACAGCTGCAACGGTTTTGCAATGTAGGTCAAATGTGCAATCTCTGGTTGATTCGAGATGCATGCACTCTAACCCTCATACCTGACCTACAGTTCCTGTAATGGCACTTTAGGGTTCTTGCATCAAACAGTTTGTTCTTGGGATGATGTGGTGGACTAGTTTTTGAAAAATCGACATCGCTTTTTTAAGACTATACTTATTTTACCTAAAATAATTTAGGGATTCTTTTAAATTCTTGCCAGTCTCATAGGTACAAAAAATATTTTTTCTGAAGGCCACACAAAGCTTCTTTCTTTTTTTTAAGATATGGATTTAATAGTGGAATTTCTTTCAGTTATTTACCTACTTCAATTTTTGTTAAATGTCATTGGAAGCACCACCTTCCCACTCCACCACCCACCCTTAGGGGGTGGAGTGGGTGTAGATGAGTGTCAGGGATGATTCTTGACAGAAGGATAGCGGCAACAATGGAAGGGAAGGTTTACAAGATGACAGTGAGACCTGCTATGACAGAGTTAGAGAGACAGGGCTGAGATGGTTTGGACATGTCCAGAGAGAAGCTTAATGGATGGAATGAACTGAGTACATTAAATGTATCAATATTCACCATTTAGAAGATCCAAGAAGGTTAAAACTCAGTTTTAATGAGATGTACTTTGTCACTGAGGCTTCAGTAGGTGAGGGGCTGGACAATTTCACATTCTGATGAGAAAAGATGTGATGGACATACGGGGAAAGACATTTTACCAGCTTAGTGCTGAAAAGGATTCCCGACCTTTGACCTTGTAGTGGACTATACACGTAAATATAACAAAGTACAAGATTACTGTTAAATACTGTCACTAATACAGTTCCAGCATGTCCTACAACCCAACAAATACCATCATCATCATAAAATACATCCTCAATTAGATTAGACAACATTTCTTGTAAGAAAATGGCAGATGGAATAAGCACAGAGCCGAGGCTACTGTTTGGAGAAGCCCTCAGAGAGGACTGATGGAGGCTCCCTGACGAGGCAGATCCCTGTAAACTAATGAGAAGCCTGAGAAATGAGAAATGAGAAAGGGGAAGGAAGCGTGGGGGTACATCCTTTCAATAAAACTTCTGTTTAAGCATGTTCCAGTGATCTACCAGCTGCTTGGATTGTATTAGCATATTAGTGTATGAGCTTACCATACCATCCTTTTAAAGTAATGTATGTGAAGTGGTTCTGAAATATGCTAGTAATGGACAATATGATGAAGTGGTTTCCATTTGATCATTCTAAACACCTGCTTAGGAATACATGATTAATGATGATTTAATGTGTACATGATGCAATGAAAGTGAGAGAGCAACGATGCAAGGTGAATCATAGGATGAAAATATATATATGATAACAAAAGTATGACAAACAGAAACAAAATATGACACAGAGCACTATAGAGGAAGTGAACATTAATTTGAACTTCCTTTAATGCTGTTTGTCTGCTGACCCAAGTGGACCTAAGACAGTTTAATTAATTCCTAATAGCAGTGGTAAATGTCTTTTATTTGTCCTATCATTTTCACATCTTCACTTTGAGTGTTTCTTGGGAGAGACTGGCGGGGGGAACAAGCACAGATCTAGGCCTGAGACTGTGGTTTGGGGAAGGCCTCGGTGAGGACTGGTGGCAGATCTCCATCTACCAATGAGAGGCGTGAGAACTGGGAAAGGAGAGGGAAGGTTGGGCAAGAAAAGTCAGAAAATAATGAGCTTTTCATACTAAGATTTTATTACTCACTCTGAAAAGAGAGAAGTCACATTTAGTCACATTCAATACAGTATTACATAATTTTCCTTTCTTTATCTCTTTATTAAATTAAGAAAAGTGTTTGTTCAGTCTGTCACCCTCCAGTGATTTGTAAATTGGCACTTGCTCTGTGGTTTTGGGTTTCGTTGATTTGTTTTGGGGGTTTTCTTCTTCTATATATCAAGAATAAAATAATAAAGTGACAGAGAAATCACATCACATAGTCTCTAGGCTGTAAATAAATGATCTTCCATTGAAAGACCGTTCAATGGAAATCACTCAGCAACATTTTCTGTGAACACTAAGCTCAGCAATCATGGACCCAGTCTCCACAAACTCAAAGCTTTATGATACAACGTATATTTATTTATTCATGAAGTCATCATAAATCATGTTTGTGCCTCTTTTTTTTAAAATATCAAGCCTGCTTTCTATTCTTTTTTTTTTTATCTCATCAACAGCTCCACCTAAAGGAAAATGTCAGGTAGTTCGCCTACAACGTTAGTGATCTTACGCGTGTAAAAACCAGAAAATTAAGAGAAAGGGGAAATGAAATGTGCAAAACATAGCACTTTTGTCTTCGAAGAAATTTTGTAGAATTTTTTTTTTTTTAAACAAACCAATTACTTCATGTCAGCTTTGTCAGCTCTGCTGTTCAGACCGCAGAGCGCTATTGGTCGCAACGGTGGCTCCACTCATTGAGCTTTTAAGGGAAGCGGTGCTATCTATTGGCTATTCTCCAACTGTCAGAGTGCGAGTAAGCAATTAGAGATATGCAGAAAACTGTGTAGCAAATGTGTAACAAGTGGCTCATAGTTGGTGAAAGTAGAATAAATGGACTATGCACTGCCACCAAAACATGATGACTGCGTCTGCACAGCTGTGTTTGCTGGCATATTTAACTCTGACTTTGGGGTTGACTTTGGGTTTGGGCCCAAACAAAAACATGGGGTTTACGTTCCTCTTACCAGCTGGAAGCACAGAGTGTTTTTACCAAAGGACGGCGATGAACGACAGCATGGAAGTTGAATACCAGGTGAGTGGAAACTTCTCTCTTTGGTGTTTGTCTGTACACGGACAGAGTTTATTCTGATGTTTGCTTTAGCCGGAAAAAGTTTGTGTATAATATGTAACTCAAAAACAAGAAACGTGTTGGACTTTGGCACTGCATAGAGAGAGATAACAAAACCATTGGTGCTGCAGAAGCCATAACACAGAGGGGGAGCAAAATAACCCACAAAATGATTAATCTATCTCTATGCATTATCTCCCCACCACACACACACACACACACACACACACACACACACACACACACACACACACACACACACACACACACACACACACACACCCAACAATGCATAAATCCAAAGAAACTTTCATTTCAAAAATTCAGAATAACCTTTGGTTAACTTCCTATAATCAGACCACAGTTAGTATCGTGGTCACTCTGTTACTGCAATCTCTTCGCAGCTGTGGTGGTGTGCTGGTTCTGAGTCATGACTCATTATGTCTCCGTGTAGCATTAATGCATTCATTTGGAAACCTAAGTCACAATCATTAAACAACATAACTACACCTTCAGTATCCTTAAGTTCCAGTCCTGCTTCAGAAGTAAACATCTGACAAAATCCCTTTTTTTTTTTTTTCAGTCAGTCACTGATAAAATTCATCAATTTCCTATCTTGGGTGTTAAACTTGTCTGACCCTGTGCTTTTTATTAACTAGTGGGTTATTTAGGTGCTGAAATAAACACTTTTAACTGCTGAGAACTGTGTGGCTAGAACTCAGACAGTGGGATAACACGTGAGCTAGGTTGTCGCTCAGGCTACTATCAGGGTTCTAATTTGAATTTCAGGCAACTGTTGCAAATGAACCTGTAAAATAGAGAAGCTTCACATGTAAGCTGCATGTCTGGGATGAAAAGAAATGAGCTGTGTTAGTGAATTCTGTGTGATTGTGACTTCAAACCTTTGCAAATACTGACTTCAATCCCTGTTTTTGTTACAGGTGATAGCAGGGTCAGGTCTGGATGTTGGGTTTATCCTCCTCTCACCCACCGGACATCGGCTAGTCTCTGACTTCAGGAGGTCTGATGGTATCCACATGTGCGTATCTGTTCAGTCTGAGATGAGCAGTCTCTCTTGCTCTTTAGTATTTGTATTAAAAAGTAGTTAAACAAATGTACGTAAAGAATGACTCACAAGCTATTTCATTAGATACACCTGTTCAAGTTCTTTTTAATGCAAATATTTGATCAGCTAATCACAGGGCAGTAAATGAATGTGTTTAGGCATGTAGGTATGCTCAGGATGACAAAGTAAGGATCATTTTGGGGAAGAAACGTTATTTAGGTGACTTTGAATGCAACACTGTTGTTGTTCCCAGATGGGCTGGTCATAGTATTTCAAAAACAGCTGATCTGCTGTGATTTTTGCTTCATTTCAATTCAGTTCTGTTTATATAGCCCCTTCACGACCACTGTCATCTCAAGGTGCTTTAAATTGTAGGCTACAAACCCTAAAATGATTTTAAAAAATTAAAAAGCAAGAAAAAAAACCCTCACAAACATAAAACCATCTTTAGGGTTTACAGAACATAATGTGTCCATCTTCCGATGGCTGCTTCTAGCAGGATAATATGCCATGATGTCACAAAGCTGTCGAACTGGTTTCTTGAATATGAAAATCAGATCACGGTTCTCAAATGGCCTCCACAGTCACCAGATCTCAATGTAATAGAGCTCCGTTGGGATGTGGTGAAAGGTGAGATTCACATCATGAATGTGTGGCTGACAAATCTGCTGCAATTGTGTGATGCCATCATTTTAATATGAACCAAAATCTCAGAGGATTGTTTACAGCGCCTTGTTGAATCTGTGCCTTGAATTAAGGCACTTCTGGAGGTCAGAAGAAATCATTCTGAAGGCGCCTGTTGTGATTTTTGCTATATAAATCTGAACTGAATTAAAGGGAAGAAGGGGTTATAAAGTCTACCTAATAACGTACATTTTAGCGGACATTGCGTTTTCAGTAGGAGAAATGTTTCATCACAGTTTTTCGCAGTTGTCCAGATAAACTCTTTCTTGCCCGGATGATTGAATGTGTATCAAGACATATACAATGTGGGAGATTCATATCGATCGGCCACCTGTCTTCAAAATGTTCTTTTTCCTGTAGGGTGGATCCCACAGTTGATGGAGACTACCGGTTATGTTTTGACAACAACTTCAGTAAAATGTCAGAGAAGATGGTGTTTTTTGAGGTCGTCATTAATAATCAGAACAGCAAAAACGGAGGCCAAGATGATTGGTTAGAGACTGTAACTTCAGACAGCATGGTGGACTACAAAATGGAAGACATCAGGGTGAGAGCAGAAAATAAAATTCTGCATGTCCTGGATCTAAATTTACTCTACAACTGGTTATCATATCAGCGCCATTCGTTTAAATCCACTTAATGTCTTTTTTGTCCCCCTCCAGGCGAGAATGGACTCTGTGCACCGGCACCTGGAGAAAAGCCATCAGGTCCAGGCCATGCTGAGGGCATTTGAGGCGAGAGACCGCTACCTTCTGGAGGACAACTTGTGGCGAGTGTCCTTTTGGTCCTGCGTAAACCTGTCGGTCATGCTCACTGTTGCTGTTGTTCAAATTTACACCCTCCGACGCCTCTTTGTCAACACCAAGCAGGTCCGCACATAACAAAACCATCCTTACCTCCATCGACGAAAGACTAGCAGAAAACACTCAACTGACATGGGAGCTGAATTTAAAGGAATAGTTTACATCATCATTTTAAAAAGCTGGTTTTTGCACTGGATTTTTTTTTAATTGTCAAAAACTGTTCCCTTTGATGCATTGTGGAAACCACTTTCTGCTTTTGTGTCATCCCTGAAATCACATTTATAGCACAGTAGTGGATGCCTGTAGCACCGGTATTTGTTAAAAGTTTCATTAGGGAAGCTAGAACGTCAGTTGTTCTCCCTTGAAAGTTTATTGAATTACAAACACTACATTTGGCACATCTAGAAACTAAGATTATCAGAACACCAAAAAACTAATTATCAGATACGTCACCTCATGAAAGCGCATGATGAAGCTTTTTAAAAGCTTTAAAAACAAAAAAACAACAAAATGATGCAAAATAGTAACTGTAATAAAATAAATATTTATAATCATAAAAAGAAAAGTCCCTGATTAGATTTACTATATGACAGTTAAATATTACACAAAACAATAACAGTCAGGTGGCTGGGGAAAAGGCATCAGAGTCACTTGTTTCATGCAATTGCACTTTGTGGTACTAAGGTGGAGAAGTCAGTAAAACCAGGTGTCTATTTTTATAACTGTGAGCAGTTACAGACTCTGCCATGAATCATTTTATTGTGGTAATGCTCCACCACTTGAAAGGCATTCTCTCTTTTGCATCACTGAGCAGATACATGAAAAATTATAATACAATTCTCCTGCTGCACTTTGTGAGTTGGCACCAGAACTGAAATGATACAAAACAAATGCTCTAAGGTCTTCTGGGGGATTGGGAACAGAGAACTGAAAGTACACCATGAGATTTCAAACCATTTCAGCTTTTTGTGCCCACAATCATTAGTGTCATTATCCCAAAGAAAGAAAGAAACAAAACCCTGAACCATGCCACTCAGTTTGAATTCTTCAGTTAGGCTGCAGGACTGTAACACCGTTATTGGGAGTGCCTCTTTGTTTTGATGAAGTGAAATTAAAACGTGCTCTTCTGCTCCCATTGTTGTCATTGATTGGAGTCATTTCACATTCACTGCGGAGCGGCCAAGGTCACTGCTGGTTTCGACGAGGGGCCGGGCGCCTGTTCAGGAACAACTGACATTAATCTCTTGGTGACACGCAGTAAAGAATTGCCGTTGACATGTTAACCCTTCAGGATCCAGTTAGCAAAACAGCAAGGACACTTGTACTGTGGCGGGTGCCGGCTGAAGGATAGGACCTTTTGTTTAAGCAAAGGGAAATACTAGGGAAGTGCATTTCACATTTGAATTTTAAATACTGCCTGGAAAAATCTAAACACTAAAAGCAACCTTTTATCTTTCATCAGTGTGAAAAATGTATGATTATATCTCAATTTAGTGTTGCAAGAGAAAATCTGAGAAGCTGTTATTGGAAGATGATTTGGCCCACAGAGAAACAATGATTAAAAGTTAATGTTGCAAAAATGTAGTGTTCCTGCTCATCACCACAGGATTTGTCAAGATGCATTTCTGCAGGCTGTTAAGTAGAAGGTTGCCATAGGAATATGGGCTTGTTTTAGCCCGAGAGAGGGAGAGCGAAAGCAAAGAGAAAGGAGAGGACCACCAGGAAATGCTCTATACATTATCTGAGAGAAAGAGAGAAGACCACACAAGACACAAACAGACACCAACCACCAGAGCCAGTCCCTTTATTGTACACAACACCTCTTTATTTACTCGCCTTTCTAAATCCGTTCATGTTGTTTATTCAAATCAATTAATTGCTACAGAGGCACTTGACAAGGTTTGAAGAAAAAAAAAAAAAAAAAAAATGTTTGCAGGTTGTTTCCAATCCCCGTCTTCCAGATCCGAGAGTTGGGTTCGAAGAAAGAAGGGTACGTCCATTAGGGAGAAAGGCAGTTTGCTCACAGCCTACTATATGACAAGCCATTTACAGGTTAGCCTTCCCAAGGGCAGGTCTAAGTGACAATCAGAGATTTAAACTCTAGACCAATAAATATCTGTTTTAGTTGTTTAAAATTTGTGTACCATGGGGAGTGTGGAAGATCCATTATTAAAGATCTTCAGTATAAAGACCAGATAGGAATATTTTATTCTTCCTGGTGCTGTCACTGAAAGCCAGACCTTGAGAAAGGAAGAAAAGGCACATTTTGTCTCAAGAAGCAATGGTTTGGGATCTTGCTGCATTTTTTTTTTTCGTTTTTTTATTAAACAGCTTTTTTGATTTGTCAGTCTGGTTAATTAATCATCTTTCCTTGATGCAGACTACCATCTTAGGGAGCTTCTCTTGACAGGATGTGCCTTTGTAAACCACAAATCCCAGCACCTGCTCACCACTACTGATCAAACCAAAACAGAAAACAAGTGCCCAATGTAACTCCCAATTTCCCCTTAAAGACTTAAAAATATATATATATATATATATTTTATTATGGTCAAATACGTTCAAAGAGCAATCAAAAGATCATCATCAAATAATCACAGCTGAACCAAGTGCACGTCCAAGTTTAGACAGATAATCCCTGTAGCAAAACCCCAAGTAACAGTCCAGGCGAAGCTGGGGGGCTGAGTTGAACATACCTGTACAGAGATGATACAATTGCTACCAAAGCATCAAAAGAAAAAAAAGAAATTGGGGGGGGAAAAAAAAAAAAAAAAAAAGAAGAAAATGCCCAGATTTTAAATAAAGCACAATGAAATAATCTCTTTTCCCGCCTTTATTGAAGTCTAATCTATGAAATGAGTGCTAGTGCTTTCTTTAATTTGATGACTACCGTTGTATTTTGACATTTTGGGCTTGGATTATGATCGATAGCATGCTTTGTCATGTACCCTATAATAAAATGAGAGATAAGCTAACTCCCCAGAATAGGCCAGCTATATACAAGATCATTTTATGCATGGAAGCATAGGTGAGAGAAAATTTCCTTGAAAATTAAGCCCAGACAGAGACGTAACATCTGATCTATACTTAATACCACCTTTACGCTCTGAATCACAGATCTGTCCACACACCCCTCAGCTTCATCAAGTTTTATCCTCTCCGAGAGAAAACTGTACCGTGTACACCGTTCTATTTAAATCCGCTAATCCAGGAATTAACTCTCCTCCAAGGCTGTAGGCCTCACTGAGGTATGACTGAGACTAGAAGGATTAAAATTCAAGACGTGATCATCTCCAAATTAGTGGAGAAAGCTTCCCAGAAAGTGCAGACAGCATCCATCCCATCCCCCTGGACTTTTGTGCATAGTGTTATGGTAACAAGCTACAGCATCCCTGCTATGAGTGGCTTAATGTAAGGCTAGGCGGTTAGAAGTGCTTGGATTATAACGGTCAATGAATAACATTTCATTGAGGAAAATAATAGTTGACGGAGGAACCGAAGCTATTTCTCTCAGTGTCAAACAACCCTGCTCTGTATCTTTTTTTTTTCTTTGTTTTTACACTCTGTTGAGATTAAGATTTCATTTTAAAGCTACATGTATAACTGTCATTTAAAAAGGACAAATTCACTCAAATAAAACAACACAAGGGAAGAAAAAAAGAACAGTGATAATAAGCCATTGTTTTTCCAATATGAAATCAGGAGACCCGAGAGAACAGCTGGTTATGGGTGTATATTACAAAGACCAACCTAGACTTGAACGTCCAGGCTCATTTTGAAGGGGAAAAAAAGTAGGGCGGAGGGGAGAGAAAAACCCAGCCTGTACCAGTTAATAACTTAATAAATGTACTTCTGCTGAGAACCTTGCCAGGAACTAAACTGTAAAGGAAATTAACCAGTTATTACATTTAAAAAATATTGAATCTGACACATCATCTCCTAATGACAGAAGCTGAATGCATCTCACAGATGAGCCATTTGTTTTCCTCTTTTAGAGCAGTCAAATGCAATATTCAAGTGGTTAAGGGCTTGCTTTCTTTCCTGCGCATTTATAAACACATTATTAGCAGCTTATTAACATTGCTTGAACAGACATCAATGCGGCTGGATGTTGCATGTTATGCACTACTATCAGTCAGCCCCTCCCCTTGAGCCCCCGCCCCTGCCTATATTGTGCAGATACACACATCCACACACAAATACACACACTCTTAGGTGGACTCGGCCACAGGTCTAGTCTAGCAGGGAGGGCTCAGCAGGGCGAATAATGGTGGGCCGGTGAGAAGGAGCACCAGGGGGTCTTCGGCTGTAACGAGGAGAGAAAAACCAGGACAAGAAGTGAGATGTGCTCTCAAAGAGGCAGTGAAGAAACCAAACTTCCCAAACAGAAGCAGAAGAGAGAGAAGAACGGAAGAAGAGTGACAAAGAGAAACTTGAGACTCAGGAAAGAATGACGCATACAGAAATAATAGGTATGTATACAGACGACAGACAAACCACAAACCATGCCTGGAACTCTCGAAAGAAACACGATGATGTGACGTCAAAGACAAAGTGTTAGAGAGTCTGTGCGACAAAAATCACAGTAACACCTTCCACGCATTGCTGGTCACATCATAAAACTTACCTGGGAATATTGGGAGGGACACGAGCGGGCCGGGAGGGGATCTGTGGGGGTGCACTGAAGGGATCCTGACTGCTATTGAAGGCATTGATGGGCGGGCCTGGGCGGGAGGGGATTGGGGGTGCACCAAAGGCCGGGGAGGGATTGAGTGGTGCTCCAAATGCAGGGGAAGGGTTCAAGGGAGGTCCTGGTGTTGGTCCCCTCACAGCAGGTGGACGGCTGGGGGGTTGGGATGATGTAGGAGTTGGCCTGCGCTGAGCGGTCGGACTGAGAAAAGAAAGTTTAGTGCATGAGAAAAGGAAAGGAAAATGAAAACCAACACAAAGATCACATGAATTCTCCTGTGTGATTAGAGAAAGAGTGTTTCAGCTATTACATTCACACCCCGTTAACCCTCACCTGGCTTCCTGCATCCAGGAGTCATTTACAGGTGGCGGTACTGGGGTGGAGATTGTGTTGGCACTGATGTCGCCAATAATGACCAGTGCTTCCTTGAGTGCATGATACATGCGCAGCATTTCGTCTCTACGCTGGGCCTGGTCAGCCGACTCCTCCATGAGGCTGTTCTGATCCCCAGATGAATAGAGGTAGGCCAGAAGCTCTGAGTGGATGAAGTCCTTCGCCTATAAAGAGGACATATTAATCAAGACAGAATCTTTAGATATGGAGCAGGAAAATGGCTGTAGTATGTGGTTCCAATTAATAAGATATTATGGGGTTAATACTTACTCATAAAAGAAAAATAAGCATAGATCTGTGACCAAAAATATTTGAAAGTCTTGGCAAAAGAGCTGCTTACTAGACAGTCGTGTAGGAGTTTGTTACAAGTGTGTGTATGTGTAGTTGCTGGACTGCTAGAAGATGTCAAAGTAGGCTAACTAAAATAATAAATCAGAATAAATGGACAGTGGGCAAGTTACTGTGAGGATGCCTCATAAATTCTCTTAATTGCTTCAGGTTTAGGAACTTGTGTCAAAATAAAATGCATGACTAATGCTAATAACAAAAAAACAAGAAAACTAAAAACTGTCCTCCATAGTTCTACAGTAAATACACTTAGTACTGTAAGTACAATTAAAAGCTTGTTTTAAGAAAGACAACGATCAACAGAACTAGTAAAAAACATGCTACGTCCTCCCACAGTTCACAGAAATACACTTTGAGTGCGTAGGAGGGATACTGTGTGGAAGTGCAATATTTTAGGACATGCAGAGTGTTGCAATAGTACATGCTCTCATTTAAAGTTTAGGTTGAGATACAGTTACTGTTGGCATTTTTCACAGGACATATCCTCACAATTAGGATCCGCTTTAACCAGAAACTGTGCTTGAATGTATTATGCACTGTATGAAGTGGCTGTCATAGAGAATCTGCAGAAAAGAAGCCAATTAAGCTCCAAGTGAAATACAGTGCAGTGTTGCAGTAACAGACCCAGAACATGCAGACACTGTCGGGATATATATTCTTCTCATATTGTATTTCCGATGGTTGAATAGTGCTGGAAAACACCACACCTTTCAGGCATTAAACAGTATGGGTGTGGGCACCAACTGTTTTCTGCAACTATCAACCGATTGAACCCATTTCATGGTGCAACTGCATAACTTTGTAACTTAAATACGCATGTCACTTCCCACAGTATGGCCCACCGCAACATGATCACTGCTCCGTCAGAGAAATTGCACACTGCTATGCCCAACTTATTAAAAACAAGCCCTTCCCACCAAAAGGAATTTTCCAATGTGATTGGATAACTCTACTTCTAGCATATTTCGAGTCTAGTCAATTACTTTGGTCTGGTGGTGAGAACTGCTGAACTTACGCTGTTGATCATGAGATGCATGATGGTCTTGGGCACAAGATCTCTGATAGATTTGTTTATGATGCTGATGTACGAGTCCACCAGGTTGCGTATGGTTTCCACCTGCCGTTCCAACTGAGGATCCATGGAGAATGTATCTGCAGGGCAAGGCTCTTCATTCTCCTCCTTAACCACAACATCAAAACACAAAACAGCAAAGATGAAGCAGAATTATAGCCTACACACATCTACTTCCTGTAATAGGAGCAGATATGAAAATTCTCCTGAAAATGTAAAGAGAGAAAAAGCGCTATAGAGTGTTTATAGTTGCACAGTAAGTCCAAACTCTGAGCTTGATTATGAATGCTTTCTGGTTCTTTAATGGAAAAGAACCAGTCAAACAGAAACACTTTGTTACATACCTGGTCCTTTTCTGGATAAACTCCAGCCCTGAGGAAAGACGCTTTCCAGCTGTCCACATCGTCCTGAGTATCACATGCCAGTTCTATTTGGCGAAGATCCTTGTACACGTTCC